GGGAAATAGGTGACGGGGATTATGGAGAGCACTTGTGATGAGCACTGGGTGTTAAATGTTAAGTATTGAATCACTGAATTGTACACCTGAAACTAATATACTGTATGTTAACTAACTGGAATTTAAATAAAGGCCAAAAAAAAAAAAGATGGATAAACAATATCCTATTTGCACTTGTTCAGTCTACCAAGATTTTTTAGGTCACCCTGAGGCCCACTGCAGGCAGACTTGTGCATATGAATTTCAAGAAGGTAAGCCATTTTATAAATAAGCTTATTTGATGCTAAAAAGGCATATACAATTGTTACACAGCTGTTGAGGTGATGAAGCTAAAAAATGATGTTCTTTTTTTATAATAGAAAGTATGTTTTATGGAAATGGGGAATATATTATGTTTTATGGAAACAGGAAAATACTTTACCTTTTCAAGAGCAAACTTGGTCTCCTTTCAGCTTCTCTTTTAACTTGACAGTCAGACTTTATTTATGTGATTAGAACTACTATCCTTTCTTCCAAATGTCTCTTGATTTTTTAAGATCCCCTGCTTCGCCAGTAAATTATTTTGTATATTCATTATTCTTTGCCTGTGTTTCCTATTTATTTTCAATTTTTAATTACACTGTGTCCCTAAGAGCTTTGTACCAGAGATTTATTCATCAGTACCAAAATTTTATCCCTCTCAACTTTATTAGACTATTGTACAAACTTAAAAACACTCTTCTTTTTAAAACATGTTCATTAATAGTTTCTAATAATTTCTTACACTTTTCCTTAAAAACTGAATGTTGTTTGTGTTTTTCTTATGACATTAGCCTTCCCGAATGACTGAAGAAAGCAATCAGACATGATGGTTATGTTTCTATTTTCTAGTCCCTGTATTTTCTGCATGTACAGATTATGTTTTGTCTGCTCAACTTTTTAATTTTTTTAGACAGACAGCGAGAGAGAGAGAGAGAGAGCGCATGCAGTCGTGCACACAGAGGGGGGAGGGGCATACGGAGAGGGAGAGAGAATCCTAAGCAGGTTCCACGCCCAGCATAGAGCCCAACACAGAGCGTGATCTCACGACCCTGAGATCATGACCTGAGCCGAAATCAAGAGTCAGACACTCAACTGACTGAGCCACCCAGGCACCTGGGACATGCTTTGAAGATATGTATCTGTGCCACAGTTTCTTAGAACCCCCAGTGTGAGGAGGATGTCCTTATACCCATGCTCACCACCTCCTCTGGCACCACCGCACCTGGCTTTCTTGTACTACTAACAGGCACACGCCACCACTGTCCTACAACAAAGGTTATCATAAAAGACCCAGGAAAAGTCTCAGGTTCAGAGGCTAACCTCTGGTGCCATAACTAAGCGTTCAAAAGTCCTATTATTTACATCCCTGACCCAAGGGCCTAGTAATTCATTAGTTGTTACAGGAAATGATTTCTCAGAATCATCCAGCTCGTTCACAGTAATTCTGATTTCAGCAATTCTATTATGCTGTGTTTCATCTAAGATATCCAGCTATGATCAGTTCATTACCTGGCTTTTTCCTTCTGTTTCTTTTTTTTTTAAATTTTATTATGTTAGGTTAATCACGATACATTACATCATTAGTTTTTGATGTAGTGTTCCATGATTCATTGTTTGTGTATAACACCCAGTGCTCCACACAGAACGTGCCCTCTTTAATACCCATCACCAGGCTAACCCATCCCCCCACCCCCTCCCCTCTAGAAACCTCAGTTTGTTTCTCAGAGTCTGTAGTCTCTCATGGTTCATCCTCCCCTCCGATCCCCCCACTTCATTTTTCCCTTCCTGCTATCTTCTTCTTCTTCTTCTTCTTTTTTTTTTTTAAACATATGTTGCATTATTTGTTTCAGAGGTACAGGTCTGTGATTCCACAGTCTTACACAATTCACAGCACTCACCATAGCACATACCCTCCCCAATGTCCATCACCCAGCCAGTACTGGGTATTTCCTTCTGTTTCCGATCATGAAAAGGGGGGGGAAATGCAATCTTTCCCACACTTATTTGATCATTAAGTGGGTATGTGTTTAGTTTGCGTGGAGAGGAAATGATGGTTTAAGACTGAAGGTGGAGGGATCACATTGACAAGGAGAAATGTGCCTTCATGTTTTAAGGGCTGGGAAGAAGCTGGTGCTAGCTTCTCTGCGTCTTGAGCTTACTTTTAATGATAGGCCATGAATCTCTTGTCCACCTGTTTTTCTCAGGAGTCTTGGAGCTTTACGACCAAGTCATAATATCCATGGAGTAAAGAGCTGTCTTCTAAGCATCACCTGCACGGATGATTAAGATCTGTGTATGTATCTGGGCCCCAGTGGTATCAAGGGGGAATCTGACAGTAAGAGGAAAAATGGGTCCCTGGTTGATTTTATTGGAAAATTTCCAAATTGGTAACCTATGTTATCCAGTTTATGCATTAGTTTAAAATAATCAAACCACTGAGTCATACAAATATTGATCGATCCTGGTCCTTGACAAAATAATTTAAACACATTTGTGATTTATAGGTTATAGCTAATTCCTGATAAGCACAGATGAAGGTAGAAAGCATTAGCTTAAATGATTAAAATTTGATAATAAACATTAAAATAAGATCTGATTTAATTATGTGCTATGATGAAGAACAACCATGCAGATATAAAATAGTTACCTAATTCTAACAGTAGATAATATGGAACACCTTTGAACTTATGTGGTGAAGTTGTTCCTTTCCCTGACAGGCAGTTAGTCACTGGTCCATGAGTGAGAAAATCCCCCAAAACATTTGAGTATTAAATATAATCCATTAAGAGCAGAAAAAAAGTCTTCCATCCATCCTTGCTAAGTTCCCAGGCTTAATTTAAAGATTGGAGATAAAATCAACCAGTAAAATTTTATCCATGGGATTTCTGTGACTCCCAAGTGGTTCCTTTTCTTTGAGAATTAAGTGCTGGAAATATATATATATATTATAGTCCCAAATAAACTAACCCACATTATCTCAAACCGGCCATAATAATTCCTTTTAGATAGCTTGTACACAGAAGAAAAGGTTGCTCCATAAACCTGGCATGGAAAATTATAAAATATTGCTTATTTTTATAATCTATGAAAAGAAGTTAAAACATCATTTTCTGAAACCCAGGTAGAGGACTCATTTTTATCACTTGCCAGAAGAAAAAGCCTCTTTCATAAAATTGAGCACCTGCCTAAATTCTAAATTCTAAATTCTAAATCTGTGTTTACATGGATTAAAAACCTCAGTTAAACTGCTGGAACAGGATGGAAATGTTCGACAAGACCTGGGGGGAATTAACAAAGCCGGAGCCACACACATCCTATCTTTGTCATACTTTGTCAAGTCAGCTTCCCTCTGGCTCAGTTAGAAGTTCTCAAGCTTCACCTTGCATCAGATTCACCAGGGGGAGAATCAGACAATGTTGACCCCACTCCTAGAGCTTCTGATTCAGTAGATCTGCGGTGGGGCTCAGAATTTGCATTTATAACATGTTCCCAGGTGATGCTGATGCCAGGGACCCAGCAGAGAATGAGTGCTCTGGTTTGAATTCTCTAAGAAAGAATATTCTTTTTACAGGAGAGTACTTCCATATTTATGCTTCTATGCCCTGGGAGTACTGGATATATTAGCAGCCATTTAGATCATTTGTTGAAAAACGTGGCCACCGTTTGGAACCCACCACACAGGCCACGTCTGAAGCAGGGGTGGGTGGGCTATCGTCTCTCCTAAGGGTCTGGTCACTTTGCTCATGGCCTTTGTGCTGTGTGGCTTTCACTTGCTCTACGAAGATTTTGGTTTATTTAATCCCTTGTGAGTTGGCTTTGCAGCACGTTAAGATAGCACCCTTCTGTGTTTAGGGAAGCCGGGTCACCTAACCTAAAACCCTATACAGATGGTGTGAGAAGAGGCTCAAGGCAGGAGCTGTCAGGCTCTAGAGTCAGCCCTTGCCTGGGTTCGAAGTCCGACTTGGATAATTCCCAGTTGTCAAAGAATTGAAAAGGAGGGAGAAAAATGGACATGATTTATGTTCTTCCTACTTTTGCACTGGGGATGATTCACGGACTCGGGGATGAAAATCACAGAAATGGTAGACTTGGCGGTAAGAATAACAGATTCATTCAGTTATTTGGGAGCAAGTGGCTGGTGGAGCTCAGCCCAAGAATCTTGAGGCTCCGGAAGCCAAGAACCACAGCTCTTCTGTATTAATTTAAAAGACAACGAGGGAGCGCAAGAATGAATTCCAGATTTTATTTATAAGCACATTTATTATGTGCTTACTAATGGCCATTTTGCAGAAAGAGAGGCAGAGAGAAACACTGACTAGTATTCTATATTGTTATCAAGTTTTGTCTTGTACCTTTAGATGAAGTCAGTTGCCCATCAATCAGATGCCTCAAAATCGCTATATATTAAAAAATTCCACCTCGACTTACACTCTCATCAAAATATGCCACCATTTTTAAGGACAACATGTATCCAAGAAGCCTAGTCCCCTTTTGTTTCCAGTATCAAAGCCAAGAGACCAGTCAACACAAGAGAAATCTTCCCAAAGAAACACAGAACCATTTGATTAATAAACTTGGAGAAAAGAAAGCATAAAACAAAAAAATAAATTTCAAAAGATTTACTCTCAAATGAAAACTAAGTATCATCAAACCATAGGAAAGATTATGGATCCGTGTTTTTACTTCAAGCTGTTTCTTAGGTTACTTTTTACATTTTCTTTAGTTTGCTCTTCAGAGAGACTGTATCTTTAAAACACTACAATGAGATTTGCCAATTGGAAGGCTATACGCAAGAAAATGAGAGATAATACAATTCTTAAATAACGTTTGACCAAACGTTTAGAACACTGAGTCCTGCAATGGAAGGAAGGCAAGCCCTATGCCGAGCCTGCTTGCTGACTCGCCTGCTTTGGCACTCTGGTACTACAGTGGTTCTTCTTTCAGAATCAAGCAGTTCCATAAAAAGAGGCTGTTCTTACCCTCATCCTGCCATTCCTTATTGCGGGCCCATCTTCTGCCAGTCTCAACACATACAAATCCATTTTGTATTCTCTTCCTCCACGAATGCTGAATCCAAATCCTTTGGCTCCTTTCTCCATGTCCACAGTGAAATAATCAAAATCCTTTAGAGTTGGGGAGAAAATGGAATAAACAGTTGTTAATATTAGAGAAGCTTCTGTGGTCAGTCTCTCTGTTCTTCTCTCTTACGGTTAATGTGTCCCCAGTGACGTAATATTGTGAGAAAAAATAATCTGATTTCACCATCTAGTAAAAGGCAAGATGAGATTCCAAAGGTTCAAGAAGATCTGAATGCAGCTCCTTTGGTCATTAAAAAAACTACTGTGGGGGCGCCTGGGTGGCTCAGTTGGTTGAGCATCTGCCTTGGCTTCAGGTCATGATCCCAGGGTCCTGGGATCGAGTCCCATGTTGGGCTCCCTGCTCAGCGGGAGGCCTGCTTCTCCCTCTGCTCCCTGCTTGTGCTCCCTCTCTCACTATCTCTGTCTCTCTCTCTCAAATAAATAAAATCTTTAAAAAAAATAAATGAAAAACTACTATAGAGCGTGTTTACTTTGGTATTCATCCATTTACTTGGCAAACGTAATGACTGCGTATAGGCCTGAGTGATATTATCTCTCCTTTGAGTTTCTCATGTCCTGCTGTTGAGTACCATAAATAAATGTATCAGAGTTGTGTTTGTGTGTGTGTGTGAATTACAGGTTTGCTCATTAGGAAACTGAAATGTAATGGGGTCTCTGAGGTACCTGGGGCTGCCTATAGTCCGCCAGAGGGTACTGCCTAGTGTCAGGGGAGTGCTGCCTGTAGTCCAGCAGGGGAGGCTGCCTGTAGTCCAAGGCTGGGGGTTGCTGGTAGTCCCCTCCCGGGGGCTGCCTGTAGTCCAGTGGCGGCTGCCTGTAGTCCGTGAACGGAGGCTGTCGGATGTCTGGTTTCACATCTTGCCTCGCTTTTACTTCTGACCTGTAACTAAATAAATGGAAATGGGATTTGCTCCGATAGCTCAGCATTCTGAGGAGATTAGAGTGATCACATGACCTCTAGGCACGTGTGGGCCACACCTCTTGGTGGTCCTTTTGCGGGTTCAGGACTTTGAGAAAACTATAGATGATAAGTATTATTTTAAAATCTTTGACAAATGCCATATCGTATACATTTCATGTGGCTCCATAAGAAATCAAGGTAAACACGATGGCTCTACCAGGGCTTTGTGGAAAAGAAGTCATGGATATCCCTCTTTGACTTTGGTTACTTAAAAACTTGTACAACTGTAGCAAATCTAGGGAGCTAAGCACTTAACTATATCTCAAACTATCAGTCTGTCTCAACACCAGTGAACCAACTCTATCAACCTCTCTCTCTCCCACACACCATTCATTACTTCATGAAAGCACAATTGAAGTGACCTCTAAATACTCTATAAATATATAATTAAGGGCTATTTTAACCTGCTGGGTTGGGTCTTTTTGACTATCTTATAAAGGTTAAAGGAATGATAGCAAAGTCTAATTATCAGCTATAAGTCAAGTAGAAAGTCACCGGGTCATTCCGAAGAGCAGAAACATATTATATAGAGTTGAAATATTAGGCTATAACTATTAGATCAGTATCAGGTGCTATTATCAGATACTGTCATGGCCGTAAGATGAAAGGGAAGGCAAATATGTTTATGTCCAACATTTGTCTCTTTCTTGTTTCTAGATATTACTCACAGTAGCCCCACCCCGCACGGGGGTTACATGCCAAAACCGCAGATAGTACTGAACCCTGTATAGACTATGTTTTTTCCTATACGTACATACCTATGATAAAGTTAAATTTATAAATTAGGCACAGGGAGAGATTATCAACAGTAATAATAACATAGAACAATTATAATAATATACTGTATTAAAGTTATGTTGAGTGTGGTCTCTCTCTCTTTCAAAATATCTTCTTGTCCTGTACTCACCCTTTGTGTGAAGATGTGAGCTGACAAAATGCCCGAGTGATGAGATGGAAGTGAGGGGAATGACCTAGGCACTAGGATTACATTGTGCAGCGTTAGGCTAGGCTATTACTGACCTTCTGACAATATGTCAGAAAGAGGATTATCTGCTTTCTGACCGTGGTTGACCTCAGGTAACTGAAACCATGGAAAGCAAAACTGCAGATTAAGGGGGGGCTAGTGTACTCACAAATAAATACAGAAACCAGAGCTGTTTGTTTAGTGCTGTTCTGTGAATCCAAACTGCTCTAAACTGAAGGGGTTCCCAGTTCCAAAAGGAGACTAACATAGCTAATGCCTGCCATTATGGGATCATTCATAAGGTAAACTGAAAAGTTATCGTTATAGTATAAAGGCCACTTAATTCTGTAATTCATTGTCTATTGTCACAGCCACAGTCCATAAGGAGCTGCTCAGAAATCCAGGAAGATTAAAAAGAATACATTCTATCTAATGATAATTTTATCTAAAATTAATATAGAGGGTTTGAGGAATTGAGAAAATATTTAGGACCAAGGAAGAACTCAAATGTGTCAGGAAAACAGGATCAAAACCAGTAGAATTTTTATCTTTAAAACCAGATTTTTTTTTTTTTTTTTTTTTTACTGGCTTATGGTCTCACTGATGCTGATTACGACTAAATATTTTTAAAAATCACTCACCTGAACAACTGCCATTAGTGCAATCTAACATTTGGTGAGGATACACTAAGAATGTCCAGCCATAGACGTATTTATCTGGGGCTTTTGGAAGGGGGTTAGTAATGTTGTTATCTCAATCAACACTTTGAGCAGGTCCCGTTTGTTACTTCACCCTACAGATGGGACACATTCCTCTTGGGAACTGCACAATTTGGGCTTTGCTTTATACCTCAGCAAGGTGTCCACTCCCCGACTGGGAGTGTGCATTCTGAGAATGGAATTATTTAAATAGGCTTTGAATACGATGCTTAACCACACAAATGCATGAGTTAAAAACAAAAGGACCCCAACTGGCCAGCATTTGTTGGCATGTGTTGACGCCTTCCTAGAAAATCGTTTGGTTGATCAGACGTCACTTTATTTTCACGATCCGGGTGGCAGGGGTATGCCATATCCGTCACATGCTCCCTTTCCAACCAGATGCATCACGAGGTGTAGCAAAAGAGGGTGACATGTAGAGTCTCCCCAAAGACTCCGCAACAGCCCCAAATAGGACCTGTTAAGATGCAACAGCTGTTAGCCAAGCCTGCCTCCTGGTGCTCTCCCTGCATTTGACCCCAGGGCCGAGAGTCAGGATTTTACGTTGAATTGCACATCGAAGAGTCTTTAATAAGGAAAATATACTTAAGTTTTTACGAGCGTTGCTAACTTTTAAGTGAACGATACCCTGGCTTGGGCAAAAATTATGTGGCTTTGAATGTGAGAAACACTCTATTTTCAGGAAAACTCAGGATTATTAAGAAAAAAATTACAGCCTCTTTAAACTTCCTTTACTCATGAAAGAAGGTTATCGGTGTAACTCTTTGCACTTATTAATTCCATTATTGAAGAGATTTTAGAGATAATAAAACCAGATTTCTAGTGGTAAATTCTAGCAGAATTTTATGGTATGAGCAAGTTCCAGAACTAGGAAACACTGCCCGTGGTAAGGGATCTTGTGGTGGCATTTTGCCTCATGTGGGCCTTTTAAGAATTCCATCCAGCCTTAAGTATCTAGGGTTCAAAGTCTGTGAAAGAAGTCAATTTCAAATGCCCTTCCACTGACCTTGCCGTGTAAAACGCTGTCAAATATTAATTGCCCTTGCCCGGGAAGGTGAACTCTGCTATTTATACTTTGTTTTGAAATATGTTACACAGTGGCTCTTTCGTTGCTTTCAACAAATGCTTCTCTTCGAATACTGTTTTGCTCATGTCCATCTTAAAACTATTTTGTTTCCTGAGCATACACCAAAAGGATGTTAAGGGACACATAAATAAGGAGAGGTGGGCAGGGTGTCAGTAGGAAGCCAAACTGAGAGTAAATAAGATGGGATAAAATATTCAGTCATCCTGAATTATAAAACAAAAATTTGCAAGCAGATTGCCATTTAATTTTCTCCCACCTTCCCGGGGAACCTGGCTTGATCTGACATGGAGGTAGGGGGGCACTTCCTGAACAAATGAACTAATAGGAGACGCATCCCGGGTGCTTGGCATACAAGCTATCTTGGAGACATCTCTAGCCCGATCTAGAGAAAGGCAAAGAGTTCCTGATACCCTGACCATCTTTAAATGCAGCTAGGAACATGATTCTGGGATCTGTAAGATTATCAATCTCTTCATTCATATGTAAACGAGCCAACCGCTAACAATCCTCAGTGAAGAAAGGTCCCTCTAGGAGTCGGCACTTTGCAGGCTTTTAATATTAGTGAAGCAACAATAACTAAGAACTCTGGGAAAATTCAATGCCGATTTATAAAAATTTGAATCGGGTCAATCTGTTAATCACTGGATTAGGAAACATTTTATGCTGTAGTCAGGACAAAAAAATATTCCAAAGACTGTTGCTTCTCTGCTAGGGGCCAATGAGTCCCACTTGTGAGCTAGTAGCAGTTGGGGAACGATCGTGACCTCGCCCAAGTGTTATTCTCCCCACTGAACCGTAACACGCCGGGGATGAGATTACTCACCCCAAAGCCAGAAGTAAGAGCCCACGTCCCAGGGAGTCTGGAAAAGTGAGATGGAATTGTGGCTGGGAGATTAACAGACAGTGGCAGAGCCATCAGAAGAGTCTGAAGCTGGCTCAGAGACCGCGTGCACTCAGCCCCTTCCTCCTGAGTCTGAAGGGGGTCCCGGGGAAAGCCCGCACAATCTGCTGCAACAGCACACAGTGAAAGCGAACACATCGGTGGCTTATTACTGAGGCACCCAGGACTTAACTCCTTTACGGGTGGTCAAATTCTTACCTCCCTATCATTTGCTTTATGGTCTTTAGTCTTTTTCCTTCCCTGAAATATTAAACCCATATGCAGCTGAGGACAACAGACATTTCCCTTCCCGTGAAAGCAAATGGGGGAGCTCCGAGTAGAGAGAGCAGGGCTTTCTGGAAATAACACCTGTGGCAGAGGGAAAATATTTGCTTTGCAACTGTGTGAGTGATGAACCCACAGAGTTCTGGGACTTGGAATTTGGGTCTCACTTCATCTTCACCGACATGGGAGGCAGGAGCTGGGAAGCAGATGTTCAGAAAACGTTAGAATTATGGAAAAGACCGGTGAGGGTTTTATACACGGAGATGTTCCTGTGGGTTGTTCTGTTTTTCTCCTCTGAGACAGGGGACACAGCATGGGAACGTGTCTTCATCTCTTTCTTTAATGGCTCAACCTAACCCAGGTTCCCTGTCACACACGAGTCACAATAAGAAGACAATGCTGTTCTTATAGGGCATCCTTTTCTCCTGGAAGTGCAAAATGCCTTATTAGTTCAAGATGTGGAATGAAAGAACCTCATTAGATCATGGTAGGAGGCTATGAGGCAAAATGCAATAAAAAATGCTAACGTTTTTTAATGCTTACAAGTCTGTCCACACTCGCCTCTCTCCATACCAGCATTATTCTCCGAGCCACCACCTTCATTGATCCCAGGACATCGGCAGCCATCTCTAACTTCTGAATAACTTACATCCACCCTGACCAGCCTCCAGTCAACTGAGAGGCCTTGGAAAGCAAATCCAGTGATGTCAGTCTTCAGCATAAAACCCATTCCAATGACTTCTCACTACACTTAAGATCGAAATCTTTACCGTGCTTACAAGACCCTGTAGATGGGCCCCTAGCACTCTCACTGGCTTCATCTCAAACCATGTTCCCTAACCTCTTTCCTCACTACGTTGACCTTTGGCACGCTCCCTCCTGCCAAAGGGCCTTTGTCTATGTTCTTCACTTGGGACTCTCTTCAATGTGCTCTTCAGCTTAGTTAGCCCTGACTGATCAATAATTGCTCATCACTTCTTCAGGAGAGGTTCTCTTAATGTGAAGAACAGATACTTGTATTTGCTAATAAAATCACACTTGTGACTCACACACAATCTCAAAATCACAGAGAGGCGTACATAGCGATTTCTACTTTATGGAACTTTCTCTTCTGCCTGTGTTCTGTCCTGTCCCAAACTCTCCTTCTCCCCAACCCCCTCACCTCTCCGAGTCAGAAAAGCCAGGGGAAACTTTACCTATTTTCATGTCCTTGTGGCTGAAGTGGCTGAGGAGGAGCTGGTTGGGCAACAGGACTGTTGGGGGTGGCCGGGCTTGGCTGGGCCAGAGGACTCTGCTGGGCCATCGGGCTCTGCTTCTCTGAGCTGGGCGCCGAGGCTGGGCTGTTGAGCTCTGCAAAGGGGAGCCAAAGTGGCAAATGAAGTCAGGTTGGCAACTGATAAAGGGCAAGAGGTGGCCAGAGGTGGTAACTCTTTGTCGCCTCCAGAGAACTCAAGGCTTTGGTTATTTCAGTTTCCATTAGACTTTAAGATGGCAGGTTAAACTTATCAATTATCCAATCAAGTTCCAGTACCATTCCCAGAATTAGTATTATGTCATTAGTTATAAGTGTTGCTGAACAAGGTTATAAACAGAGTCTCCTGTCATTTTGTCTGGAGAAAAGATTACAATTAAAAAAAAAAAAAAACCCGTTAAAACAATGAAAAAATAATCCAAAGGAGTTAGCCCTAAAACATATTCCATTTTTCCAGTGTTGCCCCCTGACAGAAAACATTTAAGCCACTACTATTTGGTTGTAATGACAAGTCCTACTGGTATTCCAAAGTTTGGATAAGGAACTAAATATAACCGAAATAAATGCTTTTCACAATCTTCTCTCTAGTTCCTTGTTAGTCTTATTGTTTAATAACCCCCTGAACTCCATGGTTCTTCAGAAAGAAAAAAGAACATCAGACAGAAGACTGTTCATAAAGTTGTTCTTTGTTAAAACAGCTTCTCGGATTTTCCTGTAATAGCATCACATGTTCAACTAAAATTATCTGTGTATGATGTGATAGAAACAGGACAGACATATTTCAGCCTGGGGAAAATGGAAAAGCAAGTCAGATTTTTAGTGAGCAATCTTGCTTAGAGTTAATTTCCATCGGATATTTTAGATATAATGATGTGTGCAAGTAACAGATTAAAAACACCATGGTCATTTTCTGTTCTGTTCTTTTTATTTGGTTGGGTGATCAAAGGGAGGCGATCTATTTCTTTACAAGCCACCCTTCCCCTTTCTTCTCTGGCAGCCCAAATTTTAAAATTTCTTTTCCCCTGGAAGGGTTTCTCAACCTCAGCCCTGTTGACATCTTGGGCCAGATAATTCTTTGCTGTGGGGGCTCTCCTGTGCCCTGTAGGATGGTTAGCAGTACCCTCGCCCTCTACCCATTAGATGTCCGTAGCATCCCCATCCCAATTGGGACCATCAAAAATGTCTTTGAACCTTGCCAAACATTCCCCAGGGGGACAGAATCATCTCAGTCGAGAACCACTGTTTTATACTGAAAGACTGCTTGGTGCCTCTTTGGCCCATAGCCCCAAAACGGAATCAGGAGACTGAGTAAAACAGAGGGGACCAAGGGGAGCCACCCCATCCCTCTCCACGTGGGATGCCGTGATCCACTCACCAGTGGGCTCCATGGACTGCATTCTGGAACACCGTGAGTGAGTCAGCAGCTACAAACCAGCAATGAACGCACTGTATTTGGAAACGGTGACTTTGTGGAGAATGGGTACTTAGATCCTTGTGGCCCTCAAGGCCTGGCTGTGAGTTGTGATGCTCACTACTCTTCAAGCCTCAGGGGGGAGTCCTTATACAGAGAAATTCAAAAGACTAGGTGGGAATTTAAAATTCTTATCAGATGCAACGTTTTCTAAACGAGCTCTCTTTATACCACAAAACTTCCTCAAGCTTTTCAAAAATCAATCTGACTTTGAAGAATCCTCCAGAGCTTAACTGTTAACCTGAACACTTTTCTTTTTTCTTTTTCAGATTTGTGACTCTATCATCTCTGTTGAATGGGTTCTGGCTTAATATCACCATAAAAACAGTACTTCTGGGACCACAGGGGATGAGTGAATAACCCAGTGTCTTGGGATTCACACTATTTATCTGTAATGTCACACAGCTTGATCCCTGAATGAAACTGGTACCGAGTAAACGGGATCTGCATTTTTGCAAACATGGAAATAAGAATCCCCTTTGGCCACTCTGGCACTCCATGGATGGCAGCCTGGCTCAGGCACTCACCCTCCTGAGGGATGATGCGGAGGGTGACACTGAGACCTGCGTCCTTGATGAGCTTCACGATGTCTGCATGAGGCATGTTGATGATGGACTGGCCGTTCACTGCCAAGATCCGGTCTCCCACTTTCAGTTTTGCACAACGATCTGCGGGACTCCCATCGATGATGCGTCCGATTTTATGGGGCACAGCTAGAACAATCCCCAACAGAATCAGATATCAGGGGTGTTCCCAACACATGTTCTATCTTTGAGTCCCAGCCCCACAGGAAACAATGCGATGGCATAAATCTTCCTTTCATCAGTAAATTTGCCTTTTGAAATCATAATCACACCTATGAAAAGGGGGTCCTGTGAGATCAGAATTTCTACATTCAGGTTCTGTGCAGTGGAACTGGATGGACCAGGGGTTCTCACACTTCTGTGCATCATAATCACCCAAGGATTAAAAATACAGCTCCCTGGGCCTTACCCCAGCCTGGTCCATCAGAATGTCCAGGCAGCAGGTGAGAATCATGAATTTTTAAGAAGCTCCTCAAGACATTTGAAGACATACAAAATTTTGAGAACTGCAGGCATAAACTATTGTGAGCTCATACCATAGAGACAATAATCCACAGTTTCAGAAAGATACGATAAATGCCAAGATTTTAATTTCTACCCTTTTCCATTTTACTGAGAGAAGAAAACAGGGAAGGAAAGAAATCTATATTAACATGGGCTGTCGCAGCTGGTGAAGAAGCTGTGCTCAATCTCCCATCAGTTACTAAGTTTCAGTTTCAAGGTTGATGCAATTTTCAAATCTTACCTCTTCTTTCTGATTTACTTTATTAAGTGGTGCTGAGATCTTGCTAATGCCTGATGCATAATATATTTCATCAAATCTAAGATGCCATTACGACCTACTTTTGTTTTAGGGAAAGAAAGAAAGAAAGAAAGAAAGAAAGAAAGAAAGAAAGAGAAGGAAGGAAGAAAAAAGAAAGAAAGAAGGAAAGAAAGAAAGAAAGAAAGAAAGAAAGAAAGAAAGAAAGAAAAAAAAAAGAACTCAACTCTTCTGATTAAACAATGACACCCCATGGACTGTAAGATGCTGTATAATTTTTTAGATATTAAAATAAGAAAATGTGCATTGGATTGATCAAATAGGGTATATGTCTCTTTAAAACAATGAAAACTTCTTTTCTTTTTTGTTATTTATTTATATATGTAGGCACAGCCAGGTACATGAGGATAAAGATTTTTTAGCAGGTTGACTTCTATTCACTGTAAATGTGTGAATGCCTGCAAGGATAACTATTTCTGGAGTCGGTATCAATGGCACACAGAGTCCTTTAACGCCCCCCCGCCCCAAGGAGTTTACAATCTAGAAACCTGTTCCTTTTCCTTTCTCCCTTCCAGACAGGGAACCGCAGCCAGGAAATCACCTGTCAGTGACTCTGCGTTGTTGCTCTCCCCGTGGACGTCAGCTACCGATTTATCTGCGTCAAGAGGCAGAGACACTCCACCATTTGTTATGCTCCAGGAATGTCTGTTCCCTGAACTCTCAATCTTATGTATGTGTTACAGCGAAAGGCAGAACATCAGCTAACAATCACGGTAAGGAAGGACAATCAGTGAGTTAATGAACCAGGACCTTGATCATATTTCCATTGCGAAAGGTTATAGATAGCATATGAAAATATTGGGTGAGCCCGTGTTTCTGAAGTCAAACGCATCATGTTGGAAGCTCAAACACCTTTTTATCTACCACAGGCAATGGCTTTAATCGAGAACACCTTACTTAAAGCATACTAAAGATCATCTTAGGCTCTCGGGACAAGGTACTTCTCAAGCAGAAATGTAATAAGAACTCATTCATTTAACTTATTTTAAAAAATAAGGTATTGCAAGTTGCTTGGTCTTCTACCATAATGAGAGTGAACATTCGTTCCTGTTTTTGCCCCCTTTCAGTTCAGTACTGCCCCGAACCATCAACACATGACACGGTCTCCCTGGTTTCCCATGTGTCTATTGGTATGTTTCATGTGATCCTTGGAAAGTTACCTGACCTCTCTGAGTTTGTTTTTCAATAGGAAAATTGGGATAACAGTATCACTGACTTCATAGGATGGTTCTGAGAATCAAATGAGTTGTCCTACGTAAAGTGACTAGGACAGTGCCTGGTGTAAGAATTGATCTGTAAGTTTTCACTTTTCTTTCATTCTTTTTATGACTATTATCTTTTTAATGATTCTGATATCACTATTGATGTGTGTGTGTGCTTGTGTGTAGGTCCCAGCTTGAATTCTTCCTATGTGGCATAAACCCGTCATACTGCTAAAACTGAAGAAATGGTTTGTTTATGATACAACAGTATCTCCTAAGTATCATCCCAGGAAAAGAGCTTCATCTGGGAAAGAGAGATGTCGGGGGGTGGGGGGATTATATATAGATGCTAGATGAGGGCAAGCATCCTGTTTGTTTTTCTCTGGTTTTCCAAAAAAGATTTGCAGGTCTCTGCAGGAAAACACCAGTTTATAAGTAAGAGTTTATTATTCAAAGGGAAATCAGTATAATACAGATGCCCTCATTATCTGCCTTGAGCCTTACATGCGCGCACACACACAATTATAACTACATTAATATATATATAATTTTATCCTTAACAAATCATGTGAGATACCCGACGACATTACTATCACATGTTTAGAGTGGAAGAAACTGAGGTAGTCACTAGCAATTTGCCCAAGGTCACAAAGTCCATCCACAATTTAGAATCCCTGTCTGTCAGATTCCATAGGCTTTGCTCTTAACCACTGCACCACACTGTGTCTCTTGACTTTGTGGTGTCTTCTCTCCACGCAAGCACTTGCTTCATGAGCACCCAGTGCTTGTATTTGGTGAGTGCAGCCTGCCTCTAACCAGGGAGTCACAAGTACTTCACCAGTGGCCCTCATCCAGGGGAGAGTGGGAGGCAGAAACTTTGCTTGAAGCCGGTTCTTTGTGGCCACTGTCTTTTGACGGGAGGAGGAAGGGAGAGGGAAGAAGAGGAAGGGAGAGGAAATTGGACAGCTCCTCAGATCCCTTTTACTTGAGACTTCACATCATGGTGTCATTCCTTTATTTGAAGTCATTTCTTTGGGCATTAGAAATACATTTGAAATGAAATTTAAAAATACACTTTAAAACACATACAGCTGGTATTTGGATGATTTGCTATTTTGAATTATCCATGCCTCTACTCCCCTCCATTACATTGGGTCATTTAGAATCTACTGGGTATAAAACCCCAAATGTTTCAAAATATAGATTTCACACACACACACACATACACACACACACATGCACACACACACGTGCTCAACAGCAATAAAAACAAAAACAATGTTATTTCACACACACACATGCACACACACACGTGCTCAACAGCAATAAAAACAAAAACAATACGTTATTTCACACACACACACACACATGCACACACACGTGCTCAACAGCAATAAAAACAAAAATAAGTTATCATTTGTTAGTTTCCAGGCACTGTGCTAAGCACTTATTTTAAATCCTTATGGCAACAGTGTGAAGTAGCTATAAAAGTATAAGAATCATGTTTATTTTATTGTTAAGAAAACAAAGAAGTGTCAAAGCCAGAATTCAAACCTATGCCTATACCTTCAAACCTTCGGGTTATTCCCTCCTTTTTTTGATATATGCCAGGTTGGAAGCTATTTGAATTATGAGGACTGAGGGAATGGCTGGTAAGATTTAGCTTAGGAAAGTGTGCTACTTGAGATTTTGAGATGAGAGTTTCATTGTAAACAGATTTATTTGCTTATAATGATAACTCTTGGGTTCAAGGCCATTTTCACTTTACCATGGCAGGTGGAATAAAAACTAAACTAAAATAATAAAAACTAAAATGAAATAAGGAAAACTGAAATCAGTCCTATGGTAGCCACTTAGAATGATTGAGTGGTTTACATAAAATTAGAGTGAGTACACAATTTAAAAAGGTCTGCCCATAATTCCAAGTATCTGACATAGTTTTGTTAAAATTGTTTTCTATTGGCATTTACTTTAGTAAAAACAGTGCTTGAAACTCCTGGCAGCTGAAGACAGCTTCACTTTTCCTTTACCAGCATTTTCCCTACACATGTAACTACACTGAACATTCATGTACAACAAATCATTGACAAGGGGTGTGCCCACAGAGGATTCTCTCTGAAAACAAGATGCAGTTCCATTTGCTCAGTTATAAGGTCTACAGAACTTATGACCCAAGTGCTTTCTGTGCATTGCTAATGGAATTACAGAGCATGGAAGAGCCCCTGACCTTGGTTTCTATTATTGCGATGAATGGTACTCGTTAATTCTCTCGGAATTGATGACTAAGCAAACTGCCGGAGCACAGTCCATTTAGACAGCATGCCTTCCAGACATCATCTGTCAGGCAGCAACATAAATCAAGCCTTTGGACCAGTCTTCTTGACACAGTGTGCTTAAGATACACAGATATTTGGGAAAAGTTGCAATATGTCATGCAGCTTTGAACATACTGACATTTGGGAAGGAGAAAACATATCATTACTTAGAAATTTCCCCTTTAACTGCAAATCACATAAATTATGGAAAAAGAAACCGATCTTTTTTTTTTCTTTATTTCTTTGTGGGTAAGACACTATGCTACATTTATATTTTATATTATACAATTTTATATTTTCAATTTCATTTTTTCCTGTAGATGAACTAACTTTTTGGCACTGCTTAACCACAGCACCCTTGTTTTAGTGGGGCTGTTCAGAGACAGTTGGACTGGATGCTAGGTTTGTTCTAAAGGTCTGGAATCTCTGGGTCTTTGGCCACACTACTACAGGATGTAATGATCCTCCCTTTTGGCTATTGGTTCTCTTCTGGGACCTTTGTATGGTTTATCCAGGCTCCTTCAGCCATTGGTTAACCAATGAGCTCTTCTTGAGTTCTACCTTGGGTTCATTCCCATAAAGAAGATGAGACTATTGCCTGGATGACTTTTCTTGCTTTGGCAATAGATTCTTTCTGAAATTTATTGTGATGGATTCTTCCTGAAATTCCCAGCTGCATCTGTGGGAAGGACCCCCACACTTTTTTTCCGTGTTTCTTTGTTGTTTTTTATGTATTTTATGTCAGAGAAGGAAAACATGTGATTCATGTTTACATGTAATTACTTCCTTGTT